CGCCCGCCCTAGACAGCTCGCCCCAGCGAGGGATCTCAGTGGCCTCAGGGAATTGGTGGCGCCAAGCGTTCGTCAGGCGGCCAAAGCAGCGCTGGGTGGGGTGTGCACCCCTGCACTGCTCACCCGCGCGGTCGCTGGTGCGTAGGACGTAGGTGCACGGACCAGTACCCCCACCCCGCTGGCTTGCTGCGTACCACTCACGGAGCTGCTGAGGGGGGGAGGATGTCACGGGTGCGCTGCTGCTGCTGCTGGCGGTGACCACCACCGGAGCCGACCCTCTGCGTAGCGCCACCCCGACCAGCTCCACCTCCTCCGCCGCCGCCTCCTCCACCGCCGCCACCTCCGCTCCCACCGCCACCGCCACCGCCTCCTCCGCCACCGCTGCCTCCACCTCCGCCTCCACTGTCGCCACCTACACCTCCACCCCCCCCACCACTCCCACCACCACCCCCACCCCCTCCACTGCCTCCACCGCCACCTCCACCGCCCCCGCCAGCCCCTCCAGCGCCCTTGCCCCCCTTGCCCTTGCTGGGGTGGCGTCTCCCGCTAGGGGCAGACGCAGCGCCGACCGAATCGAAGCCAACGAGGTCGGCCGCAGCAGTAGAGGCAACAGAGGGCCAAAGGGGGGAGGGGGAACACCCCTCAAAGATGGGGGTGCGAGGGTCACCACGAGAGGCTCCTACAGAGACTATGCTCTTCTCTGCTGCTAGGAGGGCCTTCTCGAGGAGGTCAACGGTGAGAGTGGTTGGGCAAACTGAGAGGAAGTGGTCCCTGACTACACGAAGGGAGTCAGGGAGCCGGGTGACTATGTAGTAGAGGGTGATGTACATGGGGGGGGGGTTCTTGGCGCAGAACTCAGCAGGAAGCGCAGTGCGGTAGCGAGTGTCACTAGTGAGGAGGTGCGTAATGAGGTCAGCGACTGTGGGGAAGGCAGCAAGGTCAGGGAAGAGGTACGGTAGCATGAGGCGGCTAAGTGCAGCAGTGGCAGGGGAGGAGTAGCGTGCAACTACAACATCGTACAAGGTATGAGCACTCTTGTACTGGCTAAAGTGCGCACGCTCAGAGGTAGGCAGGTGGCGACGCACAGCAAGACGTGCAGCAGCATTGCGTGTGGCCCACTGTGAGCGAACAGTGGTGTCAGCATCAGCAGCAGGGGCAGGAGAGGCACCAGAGGTGAGGTCAAAGAGGGAGAGACCGTCTGCCCTATCGCACTGTAAGAAAAGCTGCAGGTCATCTACCCAGACGTCAAAGTCAATGGCTCGACCCTTAGCGTCAAAGGCGAGGACACTAGGGTTAGCCATGACAGCAGTAGACAAGCAGCGCGAACAATAGGGTAAGGGCAGTGCAGTGATAGAGGCGCTGCTCTTACCGGACAGGGCGGCTCGGGCGGCTCGGCGGCTCGGCAGCAACTGCGGCTCGGCGACTCGGCGGCTCGGGCGGCTCGGCAGCTCGGGCGGCTCGGGCGGCTCGGCGACTTGGCAGCTCGGGCGGCTCGGCGGTTGGCTGCCGGGCGGCTCGGCGGCTCGGGTGCTGGGCGGCTCGGCGGCTGGTGTGCCTGGTGACGACCGCGGCAGCAGTTGCAGGAGCTGTGGTGACTGCTGCTTCAGAGACGGCGGCCGCTGCTTCCTCAGGGACGGCGGCGGCCGGCCGCTAGGGGCTGCGAAGGGCGGTGTAGGGGCTGTGAAGGGCGGCACGAGGGGCCGCCGAGGGCGGCGACGGGCCGTGAGGAGGCCGCGGAAGGCGGCTCGAGGGGCCGCGAGGGGGGGCCGTAAGGGGCCGACGGGCGGCGGGAGGGGCCGTAAGGGGCTGCGAGAGGGCCCGTAAGGGCGGCTCGAGGGGCCGTAAGGGCGGCGTTAGGAGCCGTAATGACGGCACGAGGGGCCGAGAGGGCGGCGCGACGGGCGCGACGGGCCGTAGGGGCGGCGCGACGGGCCGTAAGGGCGGCGCGACGGGCCGTACGGGCGGCGCTAGGGAGCCGTAAGAGGGCCGCTAAGGGCGACCCGACGGGGCCGTGAAGGGCCTAGCGAGGGCGCGACGGTAGGGAGAGCACATGGGGCGCGATTCGGGCCGGAGCGAAGCGCTCTCCGGGCAGAAAAAAAAGTTTCGTGGTGGTGGGCCCTAGGAATCGTTCCCACTAGGGAACCTGCTCGATACCATGAGAAGAAACGAGGAATGAATGAACTATGAAACAGTTGGGTACAAGTACTAACCCTAATTGGGTTGTACCCCTTATGGGCTACCCCACTACAGCCTACACAAATGTATAAGCTATAATGTTGTAACAACTTGGTAAGGAACATACGGTACATACGTAGGCACAATCACTCGGTAAGGAACATACGGTACATACGTAGGCACAATCACTTGGTAAGGAACATACGGTACATACGTAGGCACAATCACTTGGTAAGGAACATACGGTACATACGTAGGCACATTCACTTGGTAAGGAACATACGGTACATTCTTAGGCACATTCACTTGGTAAGGAACATACGGTACATACGTAGGCACAATCACTTGGTAAGGAACATACGGTACATACGTAGGCACATTCACTTGGTAAGGAACATACGGTACATACGTAGGCACAATCACTTGGTAAGGAACATACTGTACATACGTAGGCACAATCACTTGGTAAGGAACATACGGTACATATGTAGGCACATTCACTTGGTAAGGAACATACGGTACATACGTAGGCACAATCACTTGGTAAGGAACATACGGTACATACGTAGGCACAATCACTTGGTAAGGAACATACGGTACATACGTAGGCACAATCACTTGGTAAGGAACATACTGTACATACGTAGGCACAATCACTTGGTAAGGAACATACGGTACATACGTAGGCACATTCACTTGGTAAGGAACATACGGTACATATGTAGGCACATTCACTTGGTAAAGAACATACGGTACATACGTAGGCACAATCACTTGGTAAGGAACATACGGTACATACGTAGGCACAATCACTTGGTAAGGAACATACGGTACATACGTAGGCACAATCACTTGGTAAGGAACATACGGTACATACGTAGGCACAATCACTTGGTAAGGAACATACGGTACATACGTAGGCACAATCACTTGGTAAGGAACATACGGTACATACGTAGGCACAATCACTTGGTAAGGAACATACGGTACATACGTAGGCACATTCACTTGGTAAGGAACATACGGTACATACATAGGCACATTCACTTGGGCGGTGTTTGACAACACACCGAGAGGAAGGAAGCCCATATTTGGCACGGAAATTAATTCGATGATCACCCTCCGGCACGCTTTGGTGATGTGCACTCTAAACCCTGGCTTGCGCTGCATTGTCGTAGTGCACCGCACCCAGGCCCCTAGATTCGTTTTGAGGTAGTCTGACACCTCAGATTACACCCCTCTTCCTACTCTGGCTGTCAGAGTTACCTATTTTTTTTAGTCTGAAAATTCAGACAAGCACAACTTTTTTTGTCTGAACTCTCTAAGTTACTTCAAATTTTAAGATGTTCATGCAGTTTCATAACAGCATAGTTATATTAGCATTAAAGCTGATTACAGCCTACCAACGAATCAGGCAACGTGCTCGTATATCGCCACTGCTCATGTCGGCGGCGTTCTGGTGTTTTTGTCACGTGCAGCGCATGGTTGTTTCTGCTGATCTCATTTCGTTTTGTCGTGTGTGTAATTAAGGTTCTGTACCCATTTTCTCGCCTGTGTGCCAATTTTGTCAATTTTGGATTTGCGTTTCTAGCGATGCGATTGTTCACCCGATCTGTATCAGGTGGGCCAAGTGCCACGCAGCTGAGCTGTCAGCAGGCAGAAACTGTTGCTTGGCGTGGCGTATGAGCATCATGTCAGAACATTATAGCTTACCTATTTGTGTAGGCTATAGTGGGGTATCCCATAGGGGGTACAACACAATTAGGGTTTCCTATATGTACTCACTTCATTCATAGTCATTCCATCCTCGTTCATTTCTTCTCATGGAATCAGAGCAGGCCCCCTCCTAGGGACTGTTCATAGGGCCCACCGAAGCGCGCCCCGAGGCGCGCATTCTTTTTTTTAGTGACCCTTCGTGTCGCCCCTAGCGGCCCGTTACGCCGCCCTTACCTACGCGACCCTGCCGCCCTTACATCGCGGCCCCGCCGCCCTTAAGTCGCGGCCCCGCCGCCCTTACGACGCGGCCTCGCCGCCCTTACCTACGCGGCCTCGCCGCCCTTACGTCGCGGCCCCGCCGCCCTTACGTCGCGGCCCCGCCGCCCTTACGTCGCGGCTCCGCCCCCCTTACGTCGCGGCCCCGCCGCCCCTACGTCGCGGCCCCGCCGCCCTTACGTCGCGGCCTCGCCGCCCTTACGTCGCGGCCCCGCCGCCCTTACGTCGCGGCCCCGCCGCCCTTACGTCGCGGCTCCGCCGCCCTCACGTCGCGGCCGAGCCGCCCTTACGTCGCGGCCCCGCCGCCCTTACGTCGCGGCCCCGCCGCCCTTACGTCGCGGCCCAGCCGCCCTCACGTAGCGACCCCGCCGCCTCACCTCTGCGGCCCACCCGTCGCCTTACCTGCGACCCGCCCGCCGCCCTTACTTGCGGCCTACCGCCGCCCTACCTGCGGCTCACGCCGCCGCCCCTACCGCTCGCCGCCGACCCGGCCGCACGCTTCAGCCGCCGCCTCGGCCCCCCCCCCACGCCGCCCTTACGCCGCTGTGACCCAGCCGCCCGAGCCGCCTGTGCCGCTGAGGAGCCGAGCCGCCCGACTCGCCCGAGCCGCTGAGTACCCGAACCGCCCGAGCCGCCCGAGCCACTGAGTACCCGAGCCGCTGAGCACCCGAGCCGCCCGAGCCGCCCGAGCCGCCCGGGTCATCTGAGGAGCCGAGCTGCTGGTCCACCGGAGCTGCTGTTGCTGCTGGGCCGGCCGAGCAGCACAGTTGCCGTGTTACTACGCCCCTGAGCTGCCCGACCCGCCCTCTCTGGTGAGATCGTCGCCTGCTGTCATGGCTACCCCTAGTGTCCTAGCCTTTGACGCTGAGGGTGGCACCATTGACTTTGAGGTCTGGGTAGACGACCTGTAGCTGTTCTTACAGTGCGATAGGGCAGACGGTCTTTCTCTCTTTGACCTCACCTCTGGCGCCTCTCCTGCCCCTGCTGCTGATGCTGACCCCACTGTTCGCTCCCAGTGGGCCACGCGCGACGCTGCTGCACGTCTTGCTGTGCGTCGCCACCTGCCTACCGCTGAGCGCGCGCACTTTAGTCAGTACAAGAGTGCTCACACCTTGTACGACGCTGTAGTTGCGCGCTACTCCTCCCTTGCCACTGCTGCACTGAGTCGCCTCATGCTCCCTTTCCTCTTCCCTGACCTTGCCGCCTTTCCCACTGTCGCTGATCTCATTACGCACCTCCGCACTAGTGACACCCGCTACCGCGCTGCGCTTCCCGCTGACTTCTGCGCCAAGAACCCCCCCCCCATGTACATCACTCTCTACTTTCTAGTCACCCGCCTCCCTGACTCCCTTCGTGTAGTCCGGGACCACTTCCTTGCGGTCTGTCCCACCACTCTCACAGTTGACAGCCTCTAGAAGGCCCTCCTAGCGGCGGAGAAGAGCATAGTCGCTGTAGGAGCCTCTCGAGGTGACCCCCGCGCCCCCATCTTTGAGGGGTGTTCTCCTTCCCCTCTCTTGCCCTCTGTCGCCTCTACCGCTGCGGCCGACCTTGTTGGTCTTGAGTCGGTCGGTGCGGCGTCTGCCCCTAGCGGGAGACGCCGCCTTGGCAAGGGCAAGGGGGGCAAGGGAGCGGGTGGGGCCAGCGGGGGCGGTGGAGGTGGAGGTGGAGGCGGCGGAGGGAGTGGAGGTGGCGGTGGAGGTGGTGGCGGGGGTGGGGGTGCTAGTGGCGGCAGTGGAGGCGGGGGTGGCGGCGGCGGTGGCGGTGGGAGCGGAGGTGGTGGAGGCGGCGGCGATGGAGGCGGAGGCAAGGGTGGCGATGGTGGAGGTGGTCGGAGTGGCGCTTCGCAGCGGAGCAGCACTGGGGGTGGTCAGCGCCAGCAGCAGCAGCAGCAGCGTTCTCGCGACGTCCCCACCCCTCAGCAGCTCCGTGAGTGGTACACGCAGCGTCAGCGTGGTGGGAGTTTTGGTCCCTGCACCTACGTTCTTCGCACTGGCGACCGCGTTGGAGAGCACTGTGGGGGGACCCACACCGCCCAGCGCTGCTTTGGCCGCCTGACAGACGCTTGGCGCCAGCAGTTCCCGGAGGCCGCGGAGATCCCCCGCTGGGGAGAGCTGTCTAGGGCTGGTGTAGCTATCTTTGATCTTGACTTTGATGCTATCCTTGCTGCCATGTATGCTGTGACCATTAGTGATGAGGGTGACTGTTACCGGTGTTTCCCGACCGACCCGGGCATTGGTACTGCTGCTCTAGGTGCCAGCGAGGCTTCTGCTCCAGTTGCCAGTGCGTCTGTGCTCTCAGGTACAGGTGAGGCTGCTCTCTCAGGTACTAGTGAGTCTGCGCTCTCTGGTACTGCGTCGGCTTCGGCCTCCCACACCTTCACCCTTGACTCTGGAGCGTCTCGCTCCTTCTTTCGAGACCGCACCATACTCACGCCGCTTAGTCGGCCGGTTGCGGTGTCCCTGGCTGACCCCTCTGGGGGTCCTGTCCTGTCTCGCTTCTCCACAGTCCTCCCGTGTCCGACGGCTCCCTCTGGCACCCTGTCTGGTCTCTACCTCCCCTCGTTCTCTATGAACTTGGTGAGTGGTGCTGACCTACAGGATGCGGGGGTCCACCAGTTCACCCCTGCTCGTCAGCGAGTGACGCACTGCACAGAGGCTAGCACAGGTCGTCACCTGGCTACGTTTACACGTCAGCCAGGGTCGAGCCTGTACACACTGACCACTGCTTCTCCTCCAGTTCCTGAGTCTGGTAGGGTCCCTTCGTCAGGTCAGGTGTTTGCTGCAGCGTCCAGGTCTGGTCCTGAGTCTGCCCCCTGTTCGTGTCGTCGCCTGTCTCACAAGACTCTCCTCTGGCACCACCGCCTGGGTCACCCCTCTCTGCTTCGGCTCAGAGGAATGGCCTCCCGTCTTCTTGTGTCTGGTCTCCCCCGGTCCCTTCCTCCCCTTCCTCAGGACCCTGGCCCTGCCTGTGTCCCCTGTGTCGAGGGGCGCCAGCGTGCTGCCCCTCACTCCTCCCAGTTTCCTCCGACAGAGGCTCCGTTGCAGACGCTTCACATGGACGTGTGGGGCCCTGCCCGCGTCCATGGACTCGGTCACGAGTGCTACTTCCTGTAGGTGGTTGACGACTACTCGCGTTACACCACAGTCTTCCCCTTGCGCAGCAAGGGTGATGTCACTGAATTGCTGATCGACTGGATCCACGCAGCTCGTCTCCAGCTCAGGCAGAGCTTTGGCTCGGACTTTCCTGTGTTGCGTCTGCACTCGGACAGAGGCGGAGAGTTCTCCTCTGGCCTTCTGCGTGCCTACTTCCGTGCGCGAGGCATCCGTCAGACCTTCACGCTTCTGGACTCACCGCAGCAAAATGGGATTGCAGAGCGCCGCATTGGCATGGTCATGGACGTCGCTCGTACGTCTATGATGCATGCGGCTGCTCCCCATTTCTTGTGGCCGTTTGCGGTCAGGTACGCGGCGCATCAGATCAACCTCCACCCCAGGGTTTCCAGGCCGGAGACCTCCCCAGCCCTGCGATGCGTCGGCGTTCCGGGTCTGGGGATCTTGGGCGTTTGTCCGCGACTTGTATGCGGACAAGCTGTCCCCTCGTGCTGCTCCCTGCGTCTTCCTGGGGTTCCCGCCCGACGCCCCTGGGTGGCAGTTCTACCACCCCACCTCTCGTCGTGTTCTGTCCTCCCAGGACGTCACGTTGGACGAGTCGGTACCCTACTACCGCCTCTTCCCCTACCGCACTCCGTCCCTCCCCCCACCCCCGCTCTTCTTGGTACGAGGTCCCCCCCCGGTAGACCCCCTTCCCCCTCAGGGTCCTGCCCCGTCAGGTGTGTCCCAGGTAGACGCGGTCGAGCCTGTCGAGGTCACTGGTGACTCTCGTGCTGCTGTGGGTGCTGGGCCTAGGGGTGCTGTGACTGGGGGTGCTGTGCCTGGGGGTGCAGAGCCTGGGGGTGCGGAGCCTGGGGGTGCTGAGCCTGGGGGTGCTGAGCCTGGGGGTGCTGAGACTGGAGGTGCTACGCCTGGAGGTGCTTTGCCTGGGGGTGCTGAGCCTGGAGGTTCTCCGGGTGCTTCGTCTCGCCGAGAGCCACTCTCCCCACAGGAGCTGCGTGAGTGGTTTGCCCGGCGTTGGAGGCGTGCTGCTGGTGCTGGAGGTTCTTCGGCTGCTGAGGGTGCTGCTGCCGCGGGTCTCGGAGGTGATCGTACTGGGAGTACTGGAGCTGCTGGGCCTGCGGGTTCGACTGGAGCTGGTGCTGCTGAGGGTGTTGGCGCTGAGCCTACCACTGGCGGTCCGACTGGCGGTGCTCCTGGTGCTGCTGGAGGTTCTGCTGCTGTTGGGGGCTCTTGAGCTACTGGAGGTGCTGCTGGAGGTGCTGCTGGAGCTGGTCCTCCTGCTGGAGGTACTGGTACTGTCCCTGCTGTTTCTGGCGTCGTCACGCAACCCCGACCGTACTTCGTTCCTCTCCTGCAGCATGTTCTTGGTCTTTCACCTTCTCCTGGTCCTCCTCCTCCTCCCTTAGCGGGTCCACAGCCTGTCCAGTCACAGCCACAGCTACAGCCTGCCTCCCTTTGCCTGCTCCTTCTCCCTACGCTGGTCCTACTGGAGGTCTTACTGAGCGTCGTGAGCCTGCGTCTCGTCCTGCGTCGCCTGTTCGTGCTGCACGCGCTAGTGGTCGCGGTTCACGTCAACGTCCTCCTCTTGTCGCTGGCAGGCACTGGATGTCACTGCGTCCGTCTACTGCTCCTCTGCGTGCCCCTTTACCTTCTCCTCCTGAGTCCTCTCTTCCTGCTCTTGCCGACCCGGAGTCGAACTCTCTTCGTGCTGCCAGTCCTACTGTCACGCGTCTCCTTGCTACTGCCGTCACTGACCCTTCTTTTGAGTCCACTGCTGCGTCTGCCCTTGTTACTGAGCTCGTCGACTTTGCTGCTCGCTGTCGTCTAGACTACGCTGCTAGTCTTGTTGCTGAGTCTGCGTCTGCCTGTCCTCCGTCCGTCGGGGGTGAGTGTGCCCTTGGCACGGACGTCCTTGAGGACAGGCAGGAGGAGTTCCAGTGTCTGGCCGCCGCTTCACCTCATCTCGTGTCCGTACTGCTCACTCCTGAGGGAGACCCGGATGCACTTGACATCCCGACTCCGCGCTCTTACGCGGAGGCGATAGAGGGTCCCTACTCCTCTCAGTGGCACGCAGCTATGGACACAGAGATGGCTTCCTGGAAGTCCACAGGCACCTACGTTGACGCTGTCCCCCCTCCTGGGGTGAACATCGTCAGTGGCATGTGGATCTTCAGGGTGAAGCGGCCGCCGGGTTCTCCGCCTGTCTTCAAGGCGCGTTACGTGGCTCGTGGCTTTAGTCAGCGGCAGGGGGTTGACTACTTTCAGACCTTCTCCCCCACCCCGAAGATGACCACCCTTCAGGTACTGCTGCACGTTGCTGCTCACCGTGACTACGAGCTGCACTCTCTCGACTTCAGCACAGCTTTCTTGCAGGGCAGCCTGCACGAGGAGATCTGGCTGCGTCGCCCACCTGGCTTCACTGGGTCTTTCCCTCGTGGTACCCAGTGGAGTCTCCGGCGTCCAGCCTACGGTCTCCGCCAGGCGCCGCGTGAGTGGCACGACACACTGAGGACTACGCTGGCGGCTCTTAGGTTTGCTCCTTCCACTGCAGACCCGTCGCTGTTTCTGTGCACCGATACCTCTCTGCCGTCGTTCTACATCCTCGTGTACGTCGACGACTTGGTCTTTGCCACAGCTGACACTGCTGGACTCGCCTACGTGAAGTCCGAGCTGCAGAAGAGACACACGTGCAGTGACGTGGGTGAACTGCGCAGCTACCTTGGCTTGCAGATCACCCGGGACAGAGCACGCCGCACCATTACCCTGACTCAGTCACACATGGTGCAGCAGGTCCTTCAGCGCTTCGGCTTCACGTACTCCTCGCCTCAGGCCACTCCTCTGCCTACTCGCCACTCGCTCTCAGCTCTGCCTTCGGATGAGTCCGTAGAGTCGAGTGGCCCGTATCCAGAGCTTGTTGGCTGCCTCATGTACCTGATGACCTGCACTCGACCTGACCTTGCATACCCTCTTAGCATTATCGCACGCTATGTTGCTCCTGGGAGACACCGACCAGAGCACATGGCTGCAGCGAAGAGGGTGTTGCGCTACTTGTGCAGTACGTCGGGCATGGGGCTAGTGCTTGGAGGGCGGAGTCCAGTGGTCCTCACTGGGCACGCGGACGCTTCTTGGGCTGACGACCAGGCTACGCAGCGGTCGTCACAGGGTTACACCTTCAGCCTCGGTTCCGGCTCTGTTTCGTGGCGGGCTACCCGCTCGTCTTCTGTTCTCGGCTCCAGTTGTGAGGCTGAGATCTACGCCGGGGCTATGGCTGCTCAGGAGCTTCGCTGGCTCACCTACCTGCTGACCGACCTTGGAGAGCCGCCTCGTTCTCCTCCAGTCCTGTACGTAAACAACAAGACCATGCTGGCCTTGTGTCGAGAGCAGCGAGTGGAGCACAGGAAAAAGCACATTGCTCTCCGCTACTTTCTTGCTCGTGAGCTACGGCAGCGTGGACAGTTGCGACTTGCGTACGTGGCCTCTGAGGCCAACACTGCTGATGTCTTCACCAAGGCACTTGCGCCTTGTGATCATCAGCGCTTCTGCACGCAGCTGGGTCTTGTGCCTGTCTTGCCTCACTTGCTCACTTCTTGACCTTGCTTGTACTTTCACATATATATACTCTTGCTCTTGCTTGCTTAGACTCTTGTCTCTCTATATATGTGATCTTGCATGTGAACTAGCCTTTTGGCCTTTGAACTTGTGCTCGGAATGTGTGGTGACTTTGTGATCCACCCTGAGTTTTGCTTTGCTTTGCTTGACTGGTCGTGTGACCCCTTGTTCTCCCCCACTTTGCCTATGGGGGTGTGTCAGAACATTA